TAGCCATCGCATCGCGAACGTTTCGTAGGACACTCAGTTTGGTAGACAAGAAGTCAGCGACTTCTTTGCGAATGGTGAGGGGGCTGACATCAGCTAGCCGTTCGGCCATTCCACCCCCACCAATCCCTGAGCCATGGAATGGCGGCGTCAGCAAGACGTGAGGGTGAAACAGCCCGTTCACGAAGAACGGCGTGTAGCCGGTAGACGCATGCACTGAGTTGTTCAGTGCAGACTATACGATTGGCAACATGGCGCTCCAGTGCCTCGGCGTCTCAGCGCAAACGCTGCAAAGAACGTCTTCGATGTCAAGACCACCTTTTCGGTTTGACCACCGGTCTGCGGATGATCCGCAGTCGACATATCTAACTTGGTGCCGAGCACCTTAAAGATAGTCGACCAACATTTTCTCGTGAAACGGGGGTCTCTATCAGAGACAATCGACTTTGGGAGTCCGTGTTGTCGTAAAAAACGATCTACAAACAGCGTTGCTTTACTGACTCCGTCGATGGTGTCTGGCACCGCCGCCGAATGAGCCATCTTGCTCAACCGGTCGACGAATACCATTACACCCGTGTTGCCCGCCGAATCTTTCGGCAGGCCAAACACAAAGTCCAAACTCATGAACTGCCAGCACCCAGTGGGTACCAGTAAGCTGACCAGCGGCGCAGCCGCATCCGGAGAGGATTTCACCCATTGACACGTCTCACACGTGCGCTCATAGGTGCTCGTCCATTTGTACAACTTGGGCCACCAATAGTGGTGACTCACCGAGTTGTACGTTTTCTAACGACGGAGATGACCACTGAGTGGCGTGTCATGAGCCTCATAGAAGATGCGGTATTTCAAATCTTCATCATGAGGAACCACAGTTTGTGGTGTATCCGTTGAATCGGTGCTATAATATAGCAACCCATTATCCAACGAATATCGGTACACATTCGTGATGACAGTTTCCTGTCCGAGTTTCCAAACTCCTTGCTCTCTAAAGCCCGTAGCAACGCTACACACATCCCACCACCCGCATACGCGGTGCGGTTCAAATCTGTCACAGACGACGTTACAGTTGTAACATGAGCAAGCTCATAGTCTTGTCTGC